GTTTTCTCACCACTTTTAGGACTTTTTGCCTCTAGCTTTCAGCAGCTCAATTTGATGTGCCTGTGCATGTCTTTGAGGTCATTCTGCTGGGGTCTGTTCAGCTACTTGAATCTGTAGGTGTATGTTTCACCGTATTTGAGAAGTTTTCAGCCATTATTTCTTCAAATCACTTTCTCTTCTTTTAGGCCTCCAGTAATACAAATGTTAAATCTTCGTTTACTGAGCACAGGCCCTCAAGGCTCTGATATCTCGCCCCCTTCGGCGTCCCCACGCATCGCCCGACACTCAGGGCATCCTGAGGTGAACAAGGGGGCCAGGAGGGCCCCAGGGGGATGGGCCTGGGCCACCTCTGCTCCATGCTGTCCTCGTGTCTGGCAGCAGAGCCCAGACCTCGCCCTGCCCCGAGCAGCCAGGGAACCCCAGAATACAACTGAAGCTGCAAGGTCTCCGGAGCCCCCGCGCCCGGCCCTGCCTGCCCTGCTGCGCGCCCCCTCGTCCTCCACTGCACTTGCCGGGGTGTGAGTCCCTTCACATCCCCAGCTGGCGGGGTGTGCCACACGCCACATGCTCACATCCTTGTCGCCTTAGAGACCATAGGGGCAGCATTCAGGGGATGCAAACTTGAGCCCCCTGCCCGCTTCAGTGCACTCCAGCACTCCTCCACAGCCTTGGGCATCCCGCCACCGGTCAGGCAGGCAAGAGGTCACGTGGCTACCAGGAGGCCCCACTGCCACCCCTGCACACAGAGACCGGACGGCAGTGTGCTATTGCCAACTATTTATTCAGGCCCTGAGCAGGTGACAAGTGACATGCAGTTCGCCCGGGCCCATGGCAGACAGAATTGCGCCACAGACCTTACTTATGCACGATGAGCTACCAGGACAAGGCTGGACCCAGGAACACTGCCCAAGGCCCACAGGGCCTGCCAAGGGGAATGCATCTTGCTGACTGTCCCAGGGCCCAGGCTGGGGAGAAGGGGGTGAGTGAAGAACAGGGCCCCCAGTTTGCTGTGCACCCCAAGCCAGCCAGGAGACTGCCCAGCGCTGGGCAGCACAGCTGTGGGAGGTGCTGTGTGTGTGTGTGAATGAGTATGGTGGGGGTCAGACTGTCCCCTCCTGCAGTACTGCTGGACCTCCTTCCTAAGGTGTGCCCGACTGCCATGACGGCCCCCCACGTGGTCTGGGTGGTGGCTCAACCCTGGGAGGCCCAGAGGCCTCCATGGCATCCTCAGTAGGTCCCCAGCAGCTCGAGGACATCGAGGACGCTTCTGTCATCCAGAGTCCCTCAGCATCGCTGGTTGGCAAACCAGGAGAAGAAGGGGCGTGGGCGTGGACGAGGGGCTTGGTGGACGCGCACCGTGCGAGGCGAGCGCCAGGCTTTGATGGTGGCATCATCACTGGCTGTCAGCAGGAGCTCCTGCTCCTGGGGGCTGAAGACCACTGAGTTGACCACATCCTGATGCCGCAGCTTAGCCAGGCAGATGTTGTAGTGACGGTCCCAGATGTAGCCATGCCGGTCCTCAGCCCCACTGCAGAACAGCCTGGGATAAGCCCCTGCAGCCCCACCTGGGCCAGGCCTCACCTGGGCGCTGCCTGCCTGAGCTCTTACCTGGCCACGAAGTCCCTGCTGACATCCAGGAAGATGAAGAAGCATTCGTCGTTGGGCGTATAGGCACGATGGGCACGCAGAGCCCGCTTTACCTCCCGCATGGTCTTCAGGTCAAACACCAGCAGGTCGATCTCCTCTGCGATGGGTGGTGGCTGCATGGGGTCAGCCACCACGGAGCCACTGGGCCAGGCTCGGCTATTCACATACAGGTACCTGGGCAAGGGACACACAGCTCAGTACCAGTGACCTGCATAGGCCCCAACCCAGGATGCTGCCAGGGGCCCACCTGTTGTCAGGGGAGAGGCCCATGCCAATGATGTGTCCGTGCACGTCGATGACGTGGTCCAGGGCATCAAAGAAGGCGTCTGAGCCCCGTCCCTCGCCGAGTACAGGCCCAGCTGTGGTCATCTGGTGGGGCAGGATATGCTTGATGCCTGTGGGACAGCAGGGTGAAGATGGTGTCAGTGCTCCCCAGATATGAACCCCAACTTGGCCCTCAAAGGAACATGCACTCAGGCCGGGCCAGGGCTGGGCCTCCAGGGCAAAGACGATGCAGACTCACTGCCTGGCCGTGGGACCCCGCCTGGGGCCCCGGGGAGCCTCACTCCCAGGACTCCAGGGACCAAGGGCCAGCAACTCACCGATCTGGTGTGGCGAGTAAGTGAGGCAGCCCGTGGTAAAGAGAAGGAGCTTGTTCCGCTCGTCAGCCGCGCTGCGCTCAGGGGGCTTGGTGCGGCCCCGCGCCAGCAGCTCAGCCACCTTGGTCTCCAGTGCACGCTCTGACAGCTGGGGCTGTGCCCGCCCGTCCAGGAACCCGTCCAGGAAGCTCCGCAAGCCCTCCTTGGCACGGGCCGGGGCCGGGCCGGACTCCTCATCCTCGCTGTCGCCTCCCAGGTCAAAGATGCGGCCCGGGGGTGCCCCTGCATCCAGCAGCAGGTCAGGGCTGTCAAAGCGGCTGCAGTCGGCCACCATCACAGTGCGGATGGTGCTGGCATTGAGGTTCTGGATCTTGAAGAGCCGCTTCACCACATTAACGTTCTCCGACTCCACGTCCTGGGGATGGGAGTCAGAGTGGGTGCTGGGCAGGGAGCCGGCCGCCACTGGGACGCCCTGCCCGCCCCCGTGCCCGCACCTGGAAAGCGTTGTTGAGCCAGAGCACGGAGCAGGACGTGATGTCCCCGATGCGGTGCAGGTTCCCCGAGATCAGGCTGGTCTCCGTGAGCCAGCAGCCAAACACATCGTAGGGCTTGTTGCGCACTCGGGACAGCAGGGCAAAGTTGTCTGCGGGCAGGCGGGGCAGGGTCAGCCAGGTGGGCAGGGGGAGCAAGGCCTCTGGGGCCCGCGTGACGCGGGCCTGCTCTCACCTAGGCTGATGACCGCGATCTCGCCCGAAGAGGAGTTGTGGGGCCCCAGGAACACCCCCGACGCCAGCAGCAGCGAGTCGTCCTGGTTGAACTGGGAGAACTGGGTGTAGCTCCAGTTGTAGGGCCGCATGTCCGCGCTGTGCAGGAGCGCGATGGTCAGGTCGTTGTTCCAGATCTGCGCAGAGGTAGGCGGGACCTCATGAGCAAGCCCGGCCCCAGGCCACTGGTCACGGCTCCTTGCTCCGGCCTCCCCACGCCGGCCGTCGCCTCTTCCTTGAGGTGGCCTCTCCTCCCGCCTGGGTGGGCTGCCGGCCGGAGCCCCTCCCCCGGTCCACCCCTCACCTTCACCGTGCAGTCCTTGGAGCAGGAAGCAAACTGGTACCCCGAGTGGGAGAAGCTCAGGTGCAGGACCTGGTCCGCGTGCTCCCTGAGCGTCTGCACCTCCACGCAGGGCACCGTGTCGTACAGCCGCTGGAACTCCTCGTACCAGGACGTGGCCGCTGTGGGGAGGCCACCGCTACGGCCTGGAGCCTGCCTCCCACAGAGGCCACGTCCCCGGGCGCGCCAGTCTCCGCACAGGCCTCAGCTGGGGGGCACCCCTGCACCCCACCCCACCTCCCTGCCAGGCCCTGTGCTGAGGCCGATCTGGCTGTCCCTGTCAGTGAGGGCCACGCGGCGCCGCGCTGAGCGCAGTGCAGACCTGGTCAGCGGGCCTGGCGGAGTCAGAGGATGGCAGTCGTGGAGACGGCCCTGCCTCCCACCCAGCCCGCCCGGCGGGCTGCGACGCGCTTCAGGCGCTGACCTGGGTGTCGGGGCACATCTCGAGCCACCTGGTAGTAGCGGTAGAATTGCTCCCTCCACAGGAACTCATCCCGGGACACTGCCTGCCATTGGCGGCATACCAGCCCAGCAGCCAGCACATCCGTGGGGCCCAAGCTCAGGAAGATCTGGTAGACGAGGCTGTCGGGGAGCAGGGGCGTGCCCCCCTCCTCCATCGTGACATCCTGCCCAGACGGCCCTGGAACCCACACACGGCCCCTTTAGTCAGCAGCGAGGCCAGACAGGATGCAGGCCCCGGGGGCCCGGAGGGGTAGGCGCCGTCTGACCACCCCACCCACAGCGTGTGCAGAGGGCCAGGTGGCACTGCTGCCCCGCCACGGACCCAGCAGCTTCTCCAGGCCCCCAAGGACCCCATGCCTGAGGGGCTCCTCTGCAAGTCCCAGTGATTCCCGGCGGGCAGTACGCACCTCTCAGCACCTCTGGGGTGGTCCAGCCTGAGCTGGAGCGTGGGGCGGCCCTGGAGACCCCAGACCCTTCCTCACCCCAAAGGGTTCCTGGCCTCGGGGGCAGGCCTTCCGGGTGGGGCCCTCTGACTTCCCTCCCAGGAGGGCCCAGGAAGATGTCTAGGAGCGAAGGCTAGTGACCAATCCGGGGCTAAAAAAGGGATGAGTTCCTGGGGAGGGAGCGGTGACCCCCGCACGCTCCCGTCATCCTGACCTTGCGGCCCTAAGGCCTCAGAGCTATCAAGGGACAGAGGTCCTAGAAGAGGCCTGGGGCCAGCGGGAAGAGGACCGGCCCGTCGGCCCCAGACGCCGCCAGAGACACCAGCTGGCCCTTGGCCTCTGCCCTGTGGCTCAGGGGAGCCCTGCCGGGCGCTCAGCGGCGAGCTGGGGCGGGGCGGGGGCGGAGCGCCCGGCGCCCCCTCCCACCTCCCTTCCGAGGGGCTGCCGGGGGCGGGATCTCGCTCTGCCTCTGAGCCCCGGCGCGGACAGTGTCGGCGGCTCATTCATTGGCCGAGGGCGCGGCTGGAGCCGGGGGCCGGGGTCTCGGATCCAGGGGGCCTCGGGATTCGAGGTCCAGGGGTCCAGGGCCTTAGACCTGGGGACCGGGCCGGGGATCGGGGGCCGGTGACGACGCTTCCCTGGGCCGGGCGCACTCACCGCGGCCGCCTCTGCCCGGCTGCACTGCCCCCTCCCCGGCGCCCCGGCTTGGCCCACGGACCCGCTTCCGCCCCCGCCACTCCGGCCGCTGCGTCTCTACGATGGAGACCGCCAGGCCGACGCTACGAGCCCCGAGGCATCGATGGCCGCAGAGGGCCGAGCGACCGGGAGCCCGTGTCGACGGTTCATGCGCCTGCGCCTCGGTTCTCGCGGCCCGGGCCACGCTTCTGGGTGCGCCTGCGCACGCTCGGGCTCACTCGGAACAGCGCCCCTAGCGGCCGGGAGGGAAGGCAGCCTGCTCCTGGGCCTGTGGGCGGAGCTTGCGGGTGAGGTTCAGAGCCTCAGGGTTCGAGACCCGGCTCCGCGCTCCCCGCTGTCTTCCCAGGAATGGAAAGTAGTGGACAAGAGCCAAGAGTCAACTCGGACTTTGTGCTCAGAACATGGCGCCAGGGCCCTGCCAGGAAGTGCTGGGTCGAGGCCAGATGTCCAAGGTGAGGCTGAGTTCATGAGGCTGGGGTGCAGAGACCCTGGGCCAGGGCGGGGTTTGGAAGGCTGGAGGACAGACGTGGACTTCCTGGGCTGGAGGTGGACAGACGTGGACTTCCTGGGCTGGAGGTGGACGTTCGCGGACTTCCTGGGCCAAGCTCCTGGGTGGCACTGGACAGTGGACTCCGACCAGGGACTTGGCCATCCTGCCCTAGCCTTCCCCAGCCCCGTTATGGTTGCCGCCACCATCATGCTGACCCCCAGGGCTGCATTCCTCTTGACTCTGCTCCCAGCCATTGGCTCCCTGGACTACAGGGCACAGAGGCCACCCCGACCCCTGTCCCACTTCAGCACCATCCAACCCAAGGCCGGCTTCGATGCTCAGCAGGTAGAGGGGGGCAGGAGAGTGCCACGCTCTGCCGGGGTCAGGCAATCCCCATCCCCTCGTGCCCTCACGTGGCCTTCCTGCAGTTTGCAGGGACGTGGCTCCTCGTGGCCGTGGCTTCCTCATGCCGCTTCCTGCAGGAGCAGGGCCACCAGGCTGAGGCTACTGCACTGCAGGTGGCCCCACAGGGTGCAGCCATGAGGGTCAGCACCTTCCGAAAGCTGTGAGTCCCAGCAGGGATACCCACCCCCCAGCATTCCCCACTCCTGCCAGAGCCCCCAGCCACACTTCTGCTGTGGCCTGGACCACTGGCCCATGCACCCTTCCTGGGGTGGGGTCTCCAAGCCAGCTGTGCCTCCACTCACCCCACCGCCACCCCCAGGGATGGGATCTGCTGGCAGGTGCAGCAGCTCTACAGACACACGAGGGTCCCGGGCCACTTCCTGCTCCAAGGTGAGGCAAGGGCAGCAGGGGCGGGGCACAGGGCTGGGAGCCACTGACACAGCTGACCGGCTCTGCCCAGCCCAAGGTGCCCACGGGAAGGTGGATGTAGTTGTCGGGGAGACGGACTACCGCAACTTCGCCATTCTGTACCTGCAGCGGGCACAGCAGCTGTCAGTGAAGCTGTATGGTGCGTCCACACGGGAGCCCAGGCTGCACACACCTGGGGCCATCTGGGTGGGGTCGGGCGAGCCCCAATGGACACACAGACCCTTCCCATCCTCCCTCCCAGTGTCTGACCCTCTCCTGCTGAGCCAGGGGCCCAGGGTAGAGCCCCAGTGGTGTGAGGGAGGGATGGGGAGGGGGCGTGTGTGTCCCCAGAGTGCCCGTCCACACGCTCCCCAGTGGGTGCCCAGGACCCCAGGAGCCCTGTGTTCTGCAGTCCGCTCACTCCCCGCAAGTGACGCAGCTCTGAGTGCGTTTGAGCAGCGGGTCCAGAGGGCGGACCTGACCGAGGACCACATCTTGTTCTTCCCCAATTATGGTGAGTGTCCCCGGTGGCCAGCCTCCCCCCTCTTCATGCCCCACCCTGGCCATGCTGACCCCTGCCTGGGCCCCCAGGTTTCTGTGAGGCCGCAGACCAGTTCCACATCCTGGATGGTGAGTGGGCAGAACAAGCTGGGCTCTGGGGGGGCCGCCCTGCGGGCTGCTCACTGACTGAGTCTTGTTTCTGTGCTCCAGAAGTGAAGAGGTGAGGCTGGCAGCGGCCCCACGCTTAGCGGGAACGAAGACTCTGGAGACAGGGTGCCCACTGTCCCCTCCCTGAGCCCTGGCACCCCACGGGGTCAGGGTGGCCCCGGGAGGGCCTCTCCCACCTGCTCCTGAAGCTGCCCCTCACTGCCAGGAGCTCGGGGACCCTGTCTTCATTAAATGCCATCAGCCTCCACCCTTGACTCCCTCCTTTCATTCTGGTCCTGGGGTGGGTGCTGCCATTCCATGGGCATGGGGTGCTGCTCCCTCAGGGTGGGCGGAGGAATCAGCTTCCCTGGCCAAGAACCCTCGGGGCGGGGGAGCGAAACGTGTCCTTGTCCAGGCCCAAAGCACCAGCACCCTGCCCTCCCTGGTTGGGCCCCTGCCCCCTGACTCTGCACACATTCCCTGCTGGCCTTGCTGGGCTGCCCTGGGTGAGCCCAAGACTCGAGCCTGCTGCCTGGTGCCCTCCCCACAAGTCCCCCTGCCTCCTGAGCCCTCTCATGGGAGGCAGAGAGCCCAGAGTCCCAGGGGCCCTGTGGCCTGAGGAAGGACGGGCCACTGGGAGGGCCAGGCAGTTTGGGGACGGGCAGGCATGGAGACTCCCTCTCAGTTCTAGGACGTGGTGCCCAGGTCTGGGGTGAGCTCCCCCTCACCTGGCCACCCTGGGGGCTGGCAGGGCCAGACAGGGCATGGGACTGGCCCAGAGAAGGACTGACCATCTGGTGTGAGTCCACTCCTGGCATCAGGCATCCAGGTGCCCCTGTGGGGGAGACCATGTGGGTGGGCAGAACAAGGAGAGGCGGAGGCATCTGTGCCCCAAGCTTGGGGAAGCAGGCCAGCCTATCTCATGTGCCAGGACTGGGGTGAGCACGGGGCCTCTGAGTGCACAGGAGAGGGGCCCCTGACGCAGACGGGGCCCCCCCCACGCCCAGGAGCCCACAGCCAGGGTCTGGCCAAGGCCACAAGTCACAAGAGCCTGGGAAACAAGGTGTGCTCTGATCTGTAAAGAAGTCCCTTCCAGAATGTGGCAGCTCCAAAGCCCACAGCAGAGGGAGGCGGGGGCTGGAAATGGGGTAATGGGGTCCTTCCCCCTCAAGTGGCTGCCTGGAGGGGCCCCTGTGCCAAGAAAGGTCCAAGTGCCAGGAAAACTTGTGCACATCCCTCCCCAACACCGAGGTCCTACCGACCTGCCTGCCCCTCACCGAGGGCCCCCAGCAGTGCAGGAGACACTGGGAGAGGACCAGGACCGCATGAACACCGCCCCTGGAGGGAACAGTCCCGGGAACCCAAGCCAAGGTCACTCTGGAGCCCAGCTGCGCCCTCCGGGCCAGGGTCTGCCCGGGGGTCCCGGGGACAGTGCTCCCACTGTGGGGGGGCCACGGCCCTCACCCCTGCCAGGGGCCCAGGGGGCTCGGCTCTGCCCCCCCACCGGTGAGAACTCTCCGGCGCAGCCCTTCCAGTGGCTGCCCCCTCCCCCGCACCATCCTCTGGTTAAACAGTTCAGGGCCTTCTCTGCCTGCTGGAGGGCACCTGCCCACTGGGCCTGGGCACCCTGCTCCTGGAGGGTGTGTGACCTGTGACCTGCAGGCTGGTCTGGCTCCACAGCAGCCACCCCTTCAGCCTGCACCCAGCATTCCCCATCAGCCTGCGCTGGGCAGGAGCCAGACTGGTCAGTGGTCAGTGCCCTCTGCCAGGGATGTTGTGGGCCAGATGTGCCCGGCACATACTGCCAACCATGGTGTTATGTACATGTCCCCTCAGCCTCTCCCCTCAGGAACCAGGAGGGAGGGCCTCCCTTCAGGACAACTGGGGGGAGGGTCTGAGGGCAAATGGCAGCCCCAGACTAGGACCGGGGGGATCGGGGAATGAGGCCTAAACTGGCCCCAAGCTGTCCTGTCTGAGGGCCCTTGACATCTGTGTGGTGAGTATCTCTGAAGTGCCCACTGTGTGCCAGGGCACACAGGCAATTGAGTCCCTGACCCTAGGAGCTCAAAGTCCAGGGCTTACCACCCCCTGACTGCTGGCAAGGCCGAAGGGGCACCTGAGAGCTTGGCCCCCACCCAGCCCCCATTTCCTCCTGTCCAGCAGCCTCCTTCCTTGGGCTGTGAGGAGGCCCAGGCCATCCCACAAGAGTTGTAGGTCAGTGGTCCATGGAGAGCAGGGGTGGGGCCCTGGTCCCCCACCGCAAGCCCACTTGCTCAGTTCGCCCACTGGCCAGTCCAGACTGCACACTGGGGTGGGCAGTTGCTGGGAGGAGCCAGTGACAGCCCTGGAGGGGCTCCAGTTCCCCAGTGGGCAGGGGTCACACCTGATCCCAAGATGGGGCTGTGCCCACCGCTCAGTGCTAGCCTCCCAGGAGGGCAGATAGATAGGACTGGTGGGAGGAGGGGCGACAGCAGCCCTGGCCCCCTCAACTGGGAGGAAGAAAGGCAAAGGAACTGTGCCCTTCATGGGCCCCATGTCCCAGAGACCCACAGAGTGGAGGCCACAGGGCACCTGCACACGTGGGCTGTGGCTCATCTGGCAATGCCCCAGAGAGCCCCCTGCATGCCTGGTCCCAAGTCCCCCACACGGTGGAGGAGGATTCTGACAGCAAGTGAGGTTCCGCACTCAGACCCCCTTCCCAGGGCTTCTGGGGAAGGAAAGAGGGTCCAGGAGGGCTAGGCGTCCGAACTGGGGCGCCAGAGGCCCTCCCAATCGACCACAGGGCGGCCAGCCTCGCTCAGTCTGACAGCAGGTCCGCCCAGGCAGGCAGGAACCAGACGGCCAGCTGGCTGCTCACCCCTGGACCAGGGACACTGAGTGCTACAATCACAATGCATGTTATTTTCACAAAAATGTCTAGTGAGCTCTATTTCTATTTTCGAAAACTAGGTGAAATAATTGTAGCTTTAGGTAAATCACTTTTAGGTACATATAATTTGTATTCTGCCTTTTAATTCCAACAGGTAATTTTTACTACCTTAGAAGAAAGAAAAAGCCCTTAAAAAAATCTATGAAAACTACAACATTCAAAAATCCATCAACATCATCCACCATATCAACAAAAAGGACAAAAACCACATGATCATCTCCATAAGTGCTGAACAAGTATTTGACAAAATTCAACATCCATTCATGATAAAAACTCTCAACAAAATGGGTATAGAGGGCAAGTACCTGAACATAATAAAGGCCATATATGACAAACCCACAGCCAACATTATACTTAACAGCAAGATGCTGAAAGCTTTTCCCCTAAGATCAGGAACAAGACAAGGATGCCCACTGTCCCCACCTTTATTCAACATAGTTCTGGAGGTCCTGGCCATGACGATCAGACAACACAAAGAAATAGAAGACATCCAGATTGGTAAG